GCACAGTCCTGCGGTTGGCGATGCTTGAAGTTTTGCCTACAGCAGTCATCGCAGATTCAGTGATTACTTTGATTAAATTTTCAATCATCTCCATTGGTTGAAACGAAACATCTGCAGAGGAGATTAGTTATGTTATGAGATTGGGGTAAAGCTCCTAGTCTGCTCAAGGAGTTTCCTATCTAGATCGCACGCGCCAATGCGCAGTAGAGACATATGCTGCATATGAATCGGAAAGTGATCACTATTATTCAGATCAGGCAGTACTATCCATTCTAACAAATGAACTAAAGTCGGATGACAAAAAGTTAGATCAAGAGTAGGAAAACGGCCGGTTGCTGCATCAAAACGGGTGCTTTATCCAGTGTTTAAAAGAACTAAGTCAGAGGTATTTAACAGCTGAGCAAGTATGTCGCCTGTTTGATCAGAAGTTAGGAATCCCCAAATAACATGATGTGCTTTGAAATCAGCCAACAAAATCAGAGTAATTTTTTGGAAAGTGAGTTTTGTTAGCTGTAAAATTAGTTTCTTGCAATGCTATTATGCGAAGACTAAAACCCGTTTAAATTCCATTGTAATGTGAATAGGACTGATTAGAAGAAGTCACTACGTTTGGATTGATCAGTTTCAGTATCGGATTCGGAACTATAAGTTTAAAGAGCTTGTATAGGCGCTTTCTAATTTTAGTGAACTTAGTTTTCATGGACCTGTTTCGAAGATGAGGATATAACAACTTGAGCATATCAATGAATTGATTGTGTATTGCTGAGTCAGATGGAGGAGATCGGAAGTATTTGGGACTTATGAACTGATCATAAGAAAGGGGGAACTGATTTGGTTTGTCAAAACATGCTTCCCAGTGTCTTCTACATCATCGATAGAAAGAAGCGTGTTAATCAGCCAATTCATTAATAGGGTATTGCAACGTGCTTTTATCAACAGACATACCTACTTCATGTGGCGCCTGCAGCAGAAATTTTCTAACTTGTTCACTCCTAAGACTTTTTGGGGTCAGAACATCACATATACGTTTCAACAGCACACGCACTTGATTGTACCTGATGAAAATATTATTGATTATAATTTACATATAATAATGAAGTCATTACTACGTAGTGAGAAATGTTAATTTTGTCCTTAATTTGTAAGGAAGTTTTCAACATCGACACAATGCTCCAGAAAGAAGATGACGCAAAAGACTGTGACAACTCATGAACATACGCTAGGATCACTTGTTCATTATCACATTTCACATTTTCCTTATGACGCCACTCCATGAGCTTTATCGTATGTGGATACCATAACCTTCCGCACATCATCGGGAATATCATATTCATCAGAATTTTTTGATAACTCCATTCGTTTCAAACTTTTCCTTATTTTTAATTAAAATTCAAAAAAGATAAAATCAGAAATAGACTACTTTTGTTATAAACATGGAGCTATGTCAAAGCTTATTACAAAAACACTACACGTCTCTGTGAGGGCTTTTATGGCCTTATCAGATTCATTCGAGTCGGCCTTCGGCCTTGTCTCACAAACTTACTGACACGGCTGTATCTATCCTAACAGAGTTTTTCTGTAAAATACTATTACTACATAAAGTTTATTTTTTATTACATGTTGATACATCTGAGGAATTTAGCAATAAGATAGCTCGATTTGTCAATCAACGTAAAGATTGTTTATGGATTTTTACACTTAAACTACGGAAAAAGTGTATGTACTGAATTAATTTTAGCATTAAAAATCACTGAAAATCTGTATTTCTTGGTGCAGTTGACTCACACACAAATTGGCTCTGCCACTGCATATTTACTTGAAAACCTTGGCCAGCGAAATTGCTTAGGTACAGATGGTATTTTCCACAAATATATTACCAATTAAAGACAGAGTGGGAAAGTAGAAACACGCATCAAAGTTTAGGCTAAACTGTCAAACGTAATGAAGTCAATCGATAACTACAATTATTTATTTAAACGTGAAATCCAAGAATAATTCTTGGAAGACCAGATATTTTGCTCGGTGGAAAGGTATTTAAAAACCTGTAAACCATTATTGTCATCTACTATTAATGTTGTGTGTGTATTTTTTGAGGTTTACCTCCATTCAAAAGAATGGTTGCATTGACCGCCACTCTAGATTTTTAATGTCACTCTGTTATATTAAGAGACATAAAATTAGTTAATTATTAATAAATTATACGCTTAGGTCGGCATAAAAAATAGTGTGCATCATTCTGCCAGAACCTAGTTTTGCGAATACTCCCTTTGCAGTTTCTGGTTTGGTAATACAATAGTAGAATAAGTATTAAGAACGGTAAGGATTGTTTACTGATCGAAAACAAAAGTTCAATTTGCCTGAGACCTGGAAACCCTTTAGCATTCGTGATATCTTATCTATATTATTTTGTGAACAACTGAGAAAATTCTAGTGTTTTTCATGCAATTTGTAATGTTGAAGGAAATCGTCACACATCAACGAAGCCTGGTTTTAGTTTTCGAAATTTGTTTCTAGGGTTTCACCTAGGCATAAACATTATAATTTTGAATACATTATTACTTACCATTCGCCTAAATGGTAAATGTAGCGAGATAAAAAAAAATGTTTCAATGTTTTCTACAGAAATTAAAGCTTTTCTTCTAAAAACGAATTTTAGAAATGGAAGTAGATGCTGGAAAACGGTGGGCGGCGATATTCTTTCGAAGAATTTTTGAAGCATTTTTCCGAAGAAGCAGTCATTCTTATGACGATGTTTATCGGGTTGTAAGAAGAGCTGGTAATGAAAGGCCATAAAATGAACAGGTATTAGAAAATGTAAGAGAAAGTATGGAAGAACTCCGTCCACATTAATTTCAACAATTAAATCTATCATACGAACGACACAATTAAAAAAAAGCTTGCAAATGTTTTCTTCCCCTTAAAGTTCAAATTTACCACGAAATTCTACGGCAAAACTTTCAATGTCGCATAAATTTTATTATTGTAACTAGTTTTTTGACAAGCCCAACAACGACGAACTTGAAACATTGGATACATTTTTCACCGATACAGCTCGGTTTCATTTTGATGGTTATATGACCTCGCAAAATATGTATTTGTTGAGATTCCCCTGCATCCAGGTAAAAAACTTGGTCTTTGGTTGGTTATTTCAAGCAGTTGCATTATACCTACCATTTTTTCTACTGCTACTGTTCATATAGCAAATCAGACCTTATACATATTTTTAAAAGAAATTTTACGATAATAAAATAATTTATAGAAATTTATGGGCATCTAGGTCGCCACACTAAACAAGTCCCGTCTTTTTCCTTTTTTCGTATTTTAAGAATGTGTACAAAAGTCGATCACAAAATTTGTAGGAATTGGAAATGGCTATTTCCAAACAATTGGAAATTGTTATACCTGAAATGCTCGTCCGGGTTTCTGAAAACCTGAAACGATGCGTGCTTATATATTATAGAAAACGGTGAACAACATTTTCAGCAGCTTTTGTAAATAAACGTTTCGTTTATCATTAATTTCGATTAACTTTTTTTCGTCCTAACAACAGTTCACATATTTAACTTGAAACTTTGGTTCTGCCAAATTGATACGAGTATTTAATAAATAATTATTATTTTAATCTAAAACATGCTGATTTTTGTGTATATCCAACTTCGACTAATTTTTTTTATCTTGTTGTATTATGAAAAATAATTATAGTTATTCTGCTTGGTTTAAGTTTATAAAATGTCTAGCTTTTTTAAACAAAACTTAACTAGTTCAAGTTTTAGTTGTCATCGACATTTAAAATATTTCAAGATTTTACAAAAATATTATAACACTGATAAATATTACAGAACATTAATCAACTCGAGAGTTGCTAACATCGACTGAAAAAAATAACCAACAAAACACACATATTGTCGTACTTGAAAACAAAGAAAAAAAGTTGGTCATAGTTCTATAAAACTATCAGCTTTAAAGTCAATAGAAACTTTGTTGTTCGTATTTACTGCATTGTTCAGTATGAAAAAAGCTGATTTCTAACTCTCGTGATCATGATGATCAAGTTCTATTTTCACTGCTTGCAATTATTAGATGAATATTAAATATTGCATGTCTTAACACTCAAATAAAAGTAGCCCTGTATTTATCGTTATTTGTAATTTTAATTTATTACACCGGGGAACAGTGGATCTGCGGTAACCACTTTGAGAGTCGATTTTGGGTATTTAAAGTCTGCTGAATACAAAAAAATATTAGATTTGCCGAATAGATTTGCGGCTCTAGTTTTTGAGATAAATGGATCTTCATTATACGACCTCAGATATGTAATAAATATATGAAATTTATTTCAAGACTGTTATTTTCAAACCAAACTGCTAATATATGTTAGGTATACATTATTATTAATCAAAAATTAAAATAAAAGAGAAAAAAACATGTTTTTTGTAGGATTTTCTACAATATCTCGAATTAAGACAATTTGTTTATGAAGTTCAACAGTAATCTATCATCATTTGCGCTTCCATTGGACTTAGTACCATTGTTCCACTACCCTTATGTACTAGTGAAAACATTTTCACTGCTATTAGCTGGAATCGCTAAGACTGTTAGGAAATGGGTCCAAATGGCTATGCAACGAGTGAATTTTTAATGCTCATGTTAATTCCTAATTTTTCAAATATTTATCTAGGATATTGACAAGGCAATGGCGATACTCTATTGTTTTATGATTCTCCTAGAAATTTTTGACCGGTAAGATAAAGCTGTATAAAGAAACAGAAAGATTTGATGGGAAATGTTTGAAAATAACATTTTTGGATGAATTTTCGTGAAGAGCTATATCTTGCGAACTAAAGTCATTTCAAATGTACAACAGATTACTACAACAATAGCAGTAACTGAAAATACAATCAAAGCTAATACCGCATAAAATTTGATTTTTTTTGTTCCCCTGTGTTATTATTAATAAATTTTAACTGAAATTCTATGTCATAATTTTCTTTCTGTTGCAGCTGACAGTACTTCTCAATATGACGCAATACGAGCTTATTTAAAAGAACTGGACATCACAGAAAATATATGGATAGGATTATCTAAACCCACGAATAGACCTAATTTTACATGGACGTGAGTATTGTATCTTCCTTATTTTTATTAGCTGAGAATTTTATACAGGATTTAGTGACGTTTCGCAAGGTTTTTTAGGTAATTACTCTTTATTAGGCTTATAAATGTGTGAAGTACATGTGTTAATATTAAGAGCAATGACCGTTCTTATTGATTTGTACGGCATGTTGTGAAGTATTGCTCAAATTCTCACTATTGTGTGATTATTCTGCGTATAACAACGTTTTCGTTGTTAATGTTTTTACCAGGGCCGGCTTCAAAAGAGAGAAAGTGAGGCTGCCGCGGTACAGGCGCAAATGTTCTTAGTTTAACACTGAAGACGAAGAGGCGCTGTGTTTGTGTTCTCCTGTTAGCTGTGTGGTTGTACTGATGCAAAAAAATCTGTACCATATTCGTAGAAAAACTATACTGAGTATACACCTCGTATGGAATAAATAACTCTTATATTTCTGAAAATGAGATACTGAGGGCTTAACTAACTACTAGTTTGTATATAAGCTTGCAGATATATAAAGTCGAAAGTTGCGAATAAAAATAAAATAAAACCGATTCAAAACAAGCCGACTATAGCTCGCTCGTTCTGACGTAATTGTGACACGCGTCGCACAGAAGTATATTTAATTACAAATTTCGACTTTTTTCTGTTCAATTTCTGAGCTCAATTTCATCAATAACAGTAATAATGCTGCATTCGGTGTATTGTTATTGCCCAGCAAGGACCACGGGCTAGTATGAGTATTCCTGGCCAAAATTAAAAAAACATCCCACTGAAAAAATGTAAGCTTTCTCTTAAAAAAACATCCATTCCTCTCCAAAATTAAAAACATCCTGTTAAAAAAGTACACGCTTTGTTTAAAAGCCAAAATTACAAAATTGGTCGAAGGTTATTTCGACAGAAATTCCCTCGCCTCTAAATTACAATCGCACAAATACAGCTTTGAAAAATTGGTCCAAGATTATTTCGATGGAACTCTTTCGCCCATAAAGTACAGTACATCAGATCCAGCTGTTTCGAAGAATTAAAAGATTTAATTTTGCGGATTTTATTTTTTCATGACAACCAAGTTAAAATAAAGCAAAGGTAAAGACGTGTGCTACGCGTTTATTTCAAGTGAGAAAATGGAGTTAGCCGTTCCCGATTTCAGTAAAATAAAATGACTTATTCATTAATTTTTATGGGTCACCCTATATGAGAAATTTAAAAACTTTTAATACAATGATAAACCACAAGTATGGACTTCATTCATCATATTTTGCACATTTTGGATAGGATTTATTCGGCACCAATTTTTTGGGAGGGGATAAACGAACAAATTTTGCTTACCGATTTACCATGATTACGTTAAAAAAAAAGAAAATTCACACGGATTCACACACCACAAGTGCAGGAGCATCTTATTTTATACAATTAAAAAACAACTTACCTACTATTAAAAATGTTGGAGATGACGTCATCCCATTAGTGGTGGGGATGATTAGCCAAATTTTAAGTAACGTTTACGTTTACATGATATTCTTAATATACGTACAAAATTTGACAACAATCGGTCCTGTAGTTTTGGAGATTACGTGTCTAATAAAAATTAATACAGACACTAGACAGACTGAAAAGGAAGATTACGTTTTCTATACACGTCGAGAAAATACGAAAGTGGCCATTCGGCCGATGGACTTGATTACTATACTTCCTTAGCTTATGATCGGGAAGTAAGAATACCTACATAACTCAGATGACTCATTTGATATGTTATACATTATACAACAAAGCGCTTGAACAATGACTCTGATTAGGTACCTACGTCATGAAATTGCATAACAAAGTACTTGTTGCAACTTTATTTATATGGAACCTTTCTCGCCTCTAAAGAACATAGATATCAAAATTGGTTGTGTTTTAGATACGGTGTTATAGACATCCATATTTAAGACATACCCTTTACAATAATATACATAAATACAAATTCGGTTATACGTTTTTCTGAAATATTTTTAGTAGTTTTCCAATGATGTAATAAATCTTAACACCAAAAGTTTTTATTTATGCAGATAATCTAAATATAGTTCATATAATAAAGCCTGTTCAGGATTGTTTGAAGTTGCAGTCGAGTTTAGACAATTTAATTAATTAGTTTCATAATATGTATGTATTAAATTTGAATTTTTGTTCTCTAATTCTAAATTAAAGATTTACAAAAAAAATAGAGAAATTGCATTTTTATTATGAAGTAAATGGCTTGCTGTTACAAGTGTGTACTTAATGAATTTAAAGATTTAGGGGTAACTTTTGATCCTACGCTTTCGTTTGTCTCACATCTAACATATTGTGAACAGTTTTTTTGCAAAATTTGGGGTTTGTCATTTGAAATAGAACAGATTTTAAAGAAATATTTAGTTTTACTTCATTAAATTTACATATATCAATCTTATCGAGAATGTATTGCGAAAATTTTGTAAATTTACTTATATATTTTAAGTGTACGGTTCATAACCGCCTATATTGAGGATCAAAAACGTTATATAACATCGTTGACGAATGTTTTCTCTATGTAGCATGTGTACAGTAACAATGTTGCTTTTGTATACAATAAAATTTTATGATGGTTTGAGCCAATTAACTTCACACTGGTTCATACCCACCATAAATTGCAATTTTAAGACCGGACAGGTAGAAGACCAGTAATCCAAGCGGTTCTTAGCTATCCTTCTTCTGGTTTAATAAAAGCGACGCATGCCAAGCTGATAGGACACTCAGTAGGTGAACAGCTTAGCCAGCCCCTCATAATGACATTGTAAAATTTTATTGTAACAAATGGAACGTTTTTAGTATATGTGTGTAACGTTTATACAAAAACTTATAAGCGCCAAAATTTCGTGTCCATCAATATTACAAAGACTTCAGTTGGAGTTAAACGAAGAGCTCATTCGTGCTTACAACAGAATGGGCAACATTTTCGTCATTTTCATTAAAATTATGTTTCTTATAATGTTTCTTATAACTTCACAATTAATTTATTAAAAATAATAGAGTATTAAAATGTGAAACGCTAATCATGTACCTACAGCTGTATGTTTTATAAAATTTAAATAGCATTTACCATGCAAAATTTTGAAGCGACTTCATCCAGTGAGGCCGATTACACAAAATAATTTTGGTTAGCGTTCTGCCTTCTAAATGATGATCCTAATAGGTATACACATAGAATTTAAAAACAAAGGGACAATTGCAGATTGGGCAGATTATTATCTATCTAATAAAAATCGACAGACAGACAGACGAAGACGAGAGACCTATTTTTCATATTTTAGGAGCCACGAAACGCCGAACAAATATGAAAGTACGCGTTAACCGGGTGGATGTTTTATCTTATACCTTATACTAGGAAAGCAAGAATATAAAAAAAAATTACCCAAGTACTGTGGTTTATAAATTCCCATTTTATATTTACAGTTTAACTTAGAAACTGCAATATCGAATGCTCTGAAATCTTACGAACTATTCAAGACTGTAAATGGTAAATCATTAACCAAAATGTATCTGTTTATTCCTCAAAACTTTTTTGAATAAATCCTATGTAAAATGTAAAGAATATTAAATACATGAGTTCATTTTCGTATTTTAAGTAATAATATTTTTAGGATTACTTATACCTACTAAATGCATAAAAAAAAATGCAGCACTAAATTTTATTAACTTAAAGTACATCAAGATCAACTCACCCCATTTTCCTGAAATTTTGGGAAGGTAGTTCTCTTATCAATTTTTAAGCCTTCTAAGCAAAACTCTCGTTGAGATACATAATACGAAAATATGTGTATCTAATGGACTGTGTTGTGGAAAAGCGCTCGCTTTGCATATGACACCACGCCCCTTGCTTATTCGCTCCTCGGTATTTCCAATTTTATTTATTGACCTAATCAAGAACGGTCCCAGAATTCCAAAATTTGAGAATACAGTATTGTTATTATACTTATTACACTGCACCTATTAAAATTCATAAACATGTCCCTGATAAAATGTTGATGACGTCATCACAAAATTTTGTTTTGGAAAAACTCACATACAAATCAAATTTTATACTTTGTCTAAGAAACTGGATTTGTTAGATTGTACTTAAGTGGTGAGAGAAGTTCTTTATAGCCTTAGAACATTTTTTAACACTGTCATGGCCACGGTTAACACTATTGCATTGATTTAAGACATTACAAGAATTACATTTACATTTTAGGAATTTTCGGCCCCTAAACGGTGATGGCTACTGGCAACAACCTATACCAAAAGAAAATGAAGCCATTTGTATTGTGATGGATCCTGTTGCCGACTTCTTATGGAAGCCCATGACTTGCGGAGGACCTGATGTAGCATCATTTATATGTGAATTACCAGGTAAATATCCGATTTTTACCTATATTGTAACATTTTTTTAAATCTAGAACGCATTTGGCACGACATCAAATTTTACATTAAATTATCAACTTGATGCTGAATTTTCTAACAAGGATAATACTACTTTATAAAGGAGCTTCCAACATGTCATATTTTACAAAGCCCCTTTTAAGTAATATGCTCCCTCCATAGTAGGACAAGAACCTTTTGTTTAGTTTCTCTTACAGAAACTGTGTCGAAATCTACACCTTACCTGCGGCTGATGACTGTTGAGTCAGAATTACTCGCTTTGTTTCTATTTTTAAATTCATATCAACATTCAAATATACCTATATTCAAAGTTTTTACCAACATTAAATAACTTTCGTCTATGTTATGGCTACTTTAAAAAAAATATAGGCAACACTTGACTTCTCAAACTTCGTAAGTTTCGTAAAATAGCTGAAATCGTAGTCAATAAGTTACATAATATTTTTTCACATATACGAGCTAAATAAGGTCTTTGAAATAGATATGAGCTATTTTCAGGCTGTTGCCTTTTCAGCTTTATAGAAGTTTAGAGTTGATCTAGAAATCTAAACAATTGTGAACTAAGGCTTCCAAACTTTTTTTAGAATCCCTTCATATCGAATAGAGCAAAAGAAATTGATATTCCTTCCAATTTAAAATACTTGACTGAAATTTACAACGACTGGTATATGGTGAAATTTCACACAATTTATACTCAAATGTTCTAAAATTACTATCTTAAATTTGTATTTTATAAGTTTTAAATTTAGAAATGATCTCCATATTATTTTTTCGCCTGAAAACGATTTTTATAAATTACACAAATTATTTTTACAAATGTGTTTTTTGTGAACACATACCTCATAAAGAGGGATACTATCACTTAACATGAGGTAAGTTGCCACCATTTAAATAAACATTATAAAATAAAATGATCTAAACGAAAATGTGTAATTTACTGATGCCACAAAAACATATTAGTGATCTGAACTTCTGATCTAGTACATAGCTAAACTAAGAAATGACACTGAAAAAATACATAATCAGTAATTTTTTCCAAATTAATAAAAAAATTAAAATTTCAAAATTTCCGGACATGATTTTCCATAAGATCTTTTTTTTAGTAGATAATAAATGTAATAAAGTAATTTATTAAATGAAAAATTAAATATTAAATGAAAGGGATATGTAACACATACTAAAATACAAATAATCTCTATCAATTCTTAATTTTTTATAGTTACAAAAAATTGTAATCTAATATACAAAAATTATAGTTTAAAACATTGAAATTCTGAAAACTCTATTGTTAATTTGAAAAGGAAAGCTTAATTTAGTGCATTGTAAATATGACGCTTATGCTCGTATAGCGTAGGTGTTGCGATGCAAACTTCACCTTAATAAAATTTTAATATTGATGGTAAATTCTAAAATCAAAGGGATCTTTCGAGTTTACTTCATACTTTCTATGCTTTCAAAATTGAATTGTATCAAAGTTTGCTTATAAGTGTATAGAAACGTCAGTGTCAGAAAAATGCCTATGCATTATTACGATCGTCGTCTTCGTTGATTCACTATTAAAGTCTCTCCAATTGGTTACAATCGTCCGACTTGTCAAAAGGGAAAATATCAAAAGATGTCACCCCCTTCGGGAGTTACAGGAACCTGTAATTAATCCGTTTTGTTACGCGCCAAAACAGTTTGTGCTTGAATTGATATTATCAAAATGTCCAAAAAATATTGCTCTGTGCCTGCTTGTGTAGTAATCAAGGATCCTAGAGACCACAAAATAATGCACAGATTCCCTTCAAACACTGTGAACAAAAGGTTGTGGTGCAAAAAGGTTTTTAATGCTACAAGTAGGTACCCCAACATGAATCTTTTACCTAAGGGAATGTATAGCCATTAAAACCATTTCAGGTGATAATATTGCCAATAATTTATACATTTGTGGTAAACACTTTTGAGAGAAGTTGTTATTATTCAAATAAAAGACTTAAACCCGGCTCTGTTCCTACTTTGTTCCTCCATGGATCCAAGTCACCGCTACCTGTTCCTACTTCTTCAAGCTACCAAGCAAACACTAAACGTAATCCAGAATGCAGCTTCATAATTCCTGAGACACATTCCGATAACAATGTAAACACCTCAAAAAAAAATTTCCTATTGCATATCCCGTTGAAGACCATCCACGCCCATGGCGTTCTGACTTTGGCACCGGTACCGAAATTTTGCCTCTTTTTCAAGTAAAAACCGAAATACATGATGTCAAATTGTGTCAAAAAGTCAGACCATGACAGATATTTAGCCGACATTACAGATTCCTTTCCCTCCCGACGTATACGCCCTCACATGTCACATTTAAGGGATTGGAGAGACTTTAATAGTGAATCAACGAAGACGACGATTACGATAATAGCAAGAAAACCGACATGATTCTTATTTACGGAGAATGTCGCAAAAATGCTAGACGTGCAGCACAATATTTGTCATTGGTTTGTGGGTCGAAGTGCATGCTCCAGGCGCAGATGGTTAGAGCGGTTAAGATGGAATTTATTTATTTGTCTAGCAATAGCAATTTGTCCCATAATTCCCATATGAGGATTCTCATTAACTTGTGCAAGAAGTTATACTACATTTTCCAAGCTAGTCGCAGTCTGGTTCCGTTTCCTCTTGTTAGCAGGCCACTTTCTTACGCAACGAATTTTCTTGCCTCTTGAAAATTTTGGGTGTTGGAGCCAAACGGTCAGGGTATCGTCAGGCATACAATTGTGCTGTACGGCTAACCTTTTTGTGTCATTCTTCATAACGTGTCCATAACTAAGGAACATGTCGGTTTTCTCGTTATTGAATGCGTATGCGTTTTTTTTTGACACTGACGTTGACTGACGTTTCTATACATTTAGCAAACTTTGATACAATTTAATTTTGAAACATTTGACATCCAGATTCAGGTGGAATCGGTATTTTGGGTAGCCTATTTTAAAATCATAAATGGGTCATCTTAGCTGAATAACCTGTATATAAGTCATATAATATATTACACTCATACCTAGTAATTATCTTAATTCCAATATTTTCGGCTTAAAGTTCCTACGTGGGCAATGGGTCCCAAAGGCTGCCTCTTGACAGAACTACCATCTCTAACAGTCCTGTATATACCGGAGAAATTGGCCCTTGAACTCACATCAGATTGTGGTCTTGATGGAACAAAGAGAATAGCGTGTAAAGGCGATGCGGTAAGTGTTTTGGAAATTCTACTGTGGATTCGTTAGTATATTTTGTATTATGAGCAGTGTTGTCAAGGTTAATTTTCAATATCTTATGAAATACTTGAAAAATACAAGATGTACCAAAATGTGTTGAACAACATTTTGTTGTTTACTTTTACAAAATAAGCTAGTACATAATTAAAATGTTATATAAAAATGCTACAAATGGAATCACTTTTAGATTTTGTACACAAGATTTTAACAAATTTTCATTTAATTCAAATTCGACTTAGTTTTCGTTGAAACCGAATAACCGATAGCCGCGAGCTGCATTATTCCACATATGGCAGCGTAGTAAACCCGTAAACAATCCATTTTATATAGGAGAATATGAGTTGTCAGAAACCACCGTGTAATAACCCAAACATTCCGCCAAAATTGAGACATGTGCACAAAATTTGAAAACCCGCGAAAAGTCGAAAAGTGGAGAAACCCTACGTTGTGTTTTGAAAGGTGGAATGCGTTCTGATGCAAGTGATGAACCGCAAAGGTGGAAGAGTGATCTTGAAATTAACAACACAAAAATATGGCGGGAATAATTTTATTACGTTCTTTCTTTTTGTTGTTGTTTTTTTTTCTATTTTCCAGTTACAAAAATCTCGTTCCTTTCAAGTGCAAAATTACAAATTTCGATCACATATTTTATAAACACAGCTTGTTCTTAAAGGTATACAATGCTCTGGTTTGTAAATTCATATCTAAGGGAAATGGAAAGCAATGCCCAAATCATTATGGTGGCAGATTTTGATTATTTAAAACGATTTAACTGTCATCGAATTATTTCTTTGCACTACCACAGCTACGTACAACCAAGCCGCGATGCCCCCACAAACGCCACGCTATCTCTATGCTGTGTTCGCTGGCGCCTGAGGCAGCTGCTTCAAGTATTATCCAGTAACTTTACTCCATCCACCGCGTGACACACGACACTGGCTACCTCCAGTAAAGTTTCCTTTACCAGCAGGCCACCCTCGGCATATCTCGTGTTGGCGGCATCCAGTATGCGAATAAACAGTCATATGAATGACTCAGTTAGTTAGTTAGTCAGTCTTGACTTGGCCCGAAGTAGCCAACCGAACTCAATTAAACAAAATTAATGAAACAAGAGTACATCGTAAATCGAATTCCCCAACACATAAATACATAAAACACATGTTCAATATGGTCAAAAAGTCAAAAACATGAAATATCATTTGGTTTGTTTGTACATCGCTTTGAGAGGTACGTTCAAAAATCAATGTTCCAAATTTGGAATCATAAAACATATAAAACATAACACAAAATCAGCATAAAATCCCATTTACCCTTTCGAATCCACGACGACATTTATTTCCCGCATAAAATCGACCCAAACGTCTCCTTTTCCTAATCTGAGACGATTATTTCCAAAGCGACTCAATCTTTAAAAATTTAAATCTTGAATACTGTCAAAAACTATGTTAGAATTCCAGACGGGAATCTATTTAAATTGAACTAATAATTTAAGAACAACCATCCATCCCTTGAGATATTTCACAATTTAAAATATTATAAAATACTGCCTCCAAGCATTTCTGGTATAATATTGTTTTTTTTTTGTCGTCATACAAGAAAATAAAATGTATAATTCCCAGCGATTTCGTGAAATTCAATAGGGGAGTAACAAAAAATATTTCTTTGTTACTTTCACCAAAAGTATATTGAAATTTTCAATGTACGAGAGGTTGTTTTTATTCTTGAATCTTTTAAGTTAACCAGCGGCAAAATTGTAGATTACGGTCAAAGTTGGAGATTACTGATGTATTGCTTGAAACACGACTTGCTTTCAAACATATTGTTACGAAAGAAACCCATACGCCACCCCGATACGACGTCTATGGGCCGTCGAGACCTTTCTACTAGGTATGTACGGCAATGACGGGTGACTTATCGTTGTTGACGGCGCCCGGAGAAGAGCTTGGAAGTGGATGTCGCGACGGGTGTTCGAGAATAAAACGAACAAAAGATAAATCAATGATCTCAAATGCAACCATTTATACAATGACACTATATCAAAGCGCAAACGTTCCACCACAGTATAGAGATCATTCAGTAGGGACAACTCGTGTCGGCGCCTTTGATCTTTCTTACCCGAATTTTAAGCCGTTATGGGTGGTCGTTGCCTAAACTATTTCTAGATGTCGCCACCCAATTTAAAAAGTATCACAAACGCTTCATTTGAAAATTTTAAAATTGATTCGTGTACGCAATTTACTACACTCTGTGCAAATGAATTTTTGGAAAAGAATTAAAAATAGTGTAATTACAATAACATTTAGTAATTAATTGATCTTAGAAACCAAACAGTTATTATAATAAATAATGAATTAAGGGCCCTATAACAGAGATGCCGTGTTGAAATTCAGATTTGGCCCCGCTTCTCTGATTACGATTTTACGTTTCATTAATTTCTTTTCCATATTTTGATGGTTGTAAAATTCAACCTTATTAGAAAACGCTAATATACATTTAACGTTTTTACAAAAAAATTAAACGGTAAACAATGGTGTAATTCAGCGTCCCGCGGGGCTTTTGTCCGGGAAGTAGCTGTTTCCGTCCACTGGATGGTTTCCCCCAAATAGCGCGAAAGTACGATCTTTCGGCAAGTGGCTCATAGATCGCCACACTAACATCTCACTAACATCTATTAAATCGTCGAAAAATTTTGAGTAATAAAAAACCTTGCAGTGTTTTCAACATGGAGTAAATTGTTACCTTGAAGTCTCATAGGAAATCGCTTTTTGCGCAAAATAAGCGAGAAATACATTATCTGTAAGTGAAACAACTGCTGTCAGTCTATACCCATCTTCCAAGATCTTCGGTAGCAGCGACCGCAGCTTCACTTACATCGAATGGATTGCTGTGGACACCATCACAAGCGTTTTCGACCTCTTGCAGCACCAATTTATTCATTGTCAATCAACAACTATTTATATATACACACAAAATGCATTTTTTTTTCTCTATTTGTTGGGGCCAACAAATGGATTAACTTGATTTTTGCACAGCTTAATACAAAAGGCGTTAGTAAAACCTCTACACTTGACAAGGAGCTTCAAAACACAAAGTGTATGTCAACATAGCACCTCTTCAGTAATGAACCTTACTTTTACGTAAATAATTATTTTTCGAAGAAATAATTTAAAGACACCAGCTTACACTAAAAGCTGCGTTGTTAGGATCAGTAGTTTTGGATATATTACAGTTCAATTAAAACTAAGACACAATTTTGAACACTTTTTGAAATATGACGTGATAAAGAACGTAAAAATGACATTTTAAAATTATGAAAAAATCAAGAAATAATTGCTATAATAAAAATCAAATTTGAACTCAAACTGATGCGGAACAAGAAAAACTTTATGATAAATTGTATAACATTCATGTATCAATTCAATAAGAAATCGATAGGTTTTTGATAGGTAGGTACTTGACAACACTGCCGTGAATTCTCTCATCTAAAATGTCTTGCTTACTTACAGGTTTTGTACGCAGCTAACCCAGCTCAACTGAAAACTTTGATTAGATGTAACTAAAGCTGGGCGGTCAAAATTTATTTAACCCCACTACCCGTCTGCTGCAGCCTTGCCTTGCCCGCTACTCGCTTTCAAATTGCGTATTATTGATGATAATTTACACAAATAATTTTAGTTTCAACGAGACAGACACTTGAAAATTATTAAAATTTTTATTAATTATTTCATGGATATGTATTTTAAAATCATCAACTGACGTTCAGTTAACATTATTATTCTCATCATTTTCTTCGCGACACGTAATATCGGCTGCGAGTGGTTTGCCGTCGTAGGGGTCAATGCGAAGCGCTTAAATTTCGACCACCTAGCCCTAAACCAAATTTACAGTCAAACCACCTTAATTGAGCAATCATTACGTTAGCGAAGTTTATAAAAATTTAAAAAATCAATAAAAACATTAACTTTATTGTTATAAATAATAATATCTATTACAACGTTAATATTCTCATAGTTCAGGAATCATGTTAAAAAATTTATTGACATTAAACAAAGAGTACTAAGTATTCATTATCAAACTGGGAGAAATTTTTTAATTTTCTGCTCTAGCTAGCCATGACGCGTACGTCAGAAGTGAAAGTGAAACGGATGACATAAGCGTTAGTGCCAACTAGAGCATAAATTTCAAAAAATCAACCGATACTATACATACATCAAATGTCATGCCCTTACAACTGAGACATCCGAAAATTAAAAAAAATATATATATAAATGTAATATTATACTGTTGCTGTTTTTAACCTCGCCCTTATTTATGAAATATGTATAAAGTATATGATTCTATTTACAGGACAGGGAAGAAATTTTAAAACAACTCACCTGTGCAATGCCACCAGACGACTTCGATGATAAATCAACAAAAAGTCCAGTTTTATCCAACACGTTATCAAACACTCTTTCTGATATAACTTCAGACGAAACTTCTTCGAACAGCAAAACAACGAAACCTTGGATATGGACCTCCAATACACTTGGTACTGATTACGGTATGCCTACAAGACATCGACGAGAAACCGAAGACACGCTTAGTCCGTCATCCACAAAGAGTACAACAGATTTATCGACGTCAAGATCGCAAAATGCCTCAAAATCAACGACTGTATCTATAAATTTGAATTACGACCCAATAACTACCAGTTTCACTCCTGAAGAGGATGTTACATTAGATATGATTCTCTCATCAAAATCTGAAGGAGAAATTAAAACAACCGAATTAACTGATTCCACGACTCAAAATATTAATGAACAGACAGAAGAACAATTTGAGATAGTCGAGAATATTTTGGCCACCACAGAAAAGGCATTTAGTTCAGACGTCGATAGCGGAGAATATCCAAGCGCTATTGGTCAGGGACAACTATTTAGCATTATCGAGAACGGTAATCCGCCATAGTTTACAGAATAAGCATTAACTAGAGTTTTGATAGGAGTCAGCTTTAGATGTAGCAGTGAACTAATAGAACCTATTAATGGGTTACATAAGTCGATTTAGTCCATATCCAGCAAATTATATATTTGGAAATGTTTGGTATCGATTATACATACTTCGGATTAATGTTTAAATTATTTCAACTAAAACCGATAGGTACTGACGTATACTGGTAATACAACACGTGTTAGATTATTTTCTGAAGTATAATATATATGTATTGAAAGTTTACGAACAAACACAATGTCAATGTGCGAACAAAATCTGCTTTAGATTTATCAAAAGCAAAAAAATATATATAAAAATCTGCAGTTATCACAAGGATTTAAAAAAAAAACTAATAGAAAGCCACTGCGTAAAATAATGATACTGTTTTTTTTTTTGCATACTAACTGGAAACTCAAACGCCCAAAAACTTAAATAAATATGGATAATTCTGTTGGTATTCAACTAGCTTATAAAATCTGTCAAATATTCTACATATGTATACAGGTTCTTCGTTTTTGTCGCACAGTATAAGGTACGGCATGAAATTTTTCTTCGGTTTCTCGTATCATTTTAGTTTCTGCTACCTTTTTTCTGACAGAAGTTTAGTCGTTTTTTGGAAAGTTGTCAATGTATACAGATATTACAGGGTGATTATTTTATCTCTTCACGCCTAGATAAGTAAGAATGGGCAACACATTTTACTTTCCATAAACGTTTTCGCTTAAATTCTTTATAAATAATAAATAACGTGTAGATGGCAACGATTGCGCCCAAGTTACTACACATTAATTCCAACAGTTAAGTAAATTCCTTCCAACTTTTACTAACAGTACTTTCGAATTCCGAAAAAACGATGTGCTTTTAACTTTTGGAAAGTGTGACGGAAATTTCGATGCTGCCGTTCGTCTACATGCCAGGCGATACAATTCCTTCTAACCAAGTATTCAGAAAACTCGAAAAAAAAAATTTAGACAACTTGATCAATTTAACATAACTAAAGTTAGACGTCCTATAGTAACAACTTCAGAAAATGAAGCTGCCCTGATTGAAATTGTAGAAAATAATCCTCACGTGAGTCAACAGCAGATCACAAGACAAATGCAGATTAGTCAAGAGTTCGGTTTTTAACATCCTGAGGGCAAAACGATTTCGTTCATGCCATGTCAGTTCTTCCAATTCAAAATGAAGATCATTTGCTGGGAAATGACCATGGTGTCGTGCAGATAGATATTCATATATCACCCGAGATTCTGTTAGACTACGTAGAAATTTTGAAGAAGGATAAGGCGCCAATTATATTCGTTTAAGGATCGAATAAACTGCGTTCTGTTCTCTTTAAATTTTGCCACTAATTATTTGCTTGACATCTTTGTTGTCAGTATGACATTGTGTGATTTTTGTGTTGTTCCATTTGCTATGATTGCTGATTTAAAAAGATTAATAGATTGACCAAAGGTGTTTATGATATGTATAATGTGTTCCCTACACCAAAGTATTCAGGCGTGAACAGATAAAATAATCACTCTGTACATTGTGGCTTCTATTTTCTCGATAATAAATATCTACATGATGACCGCTTATTTAATCAACGTGGAACGGTTGTGTTGTTAGTTTGTATCTAATATTTTTTTATTTCCAACACATCAGCTTTAAATTACCTAATGAATAATTTCATCACAATCTAAAATAGTCTCATGCTGGTGCCAGTAGGATATGCCTGTCCCATTTCTTTCTTCTTCACATATTTTTGTATTTCCAATGAAACCAAAGATCTCCATAATTGGTCAGTTCATTTATTATATTTTTATAGTAATACCTACGTACCTACTTATATACATGTTTTTGGAGGCGCTTAATTTTTTCTCATTTTTTTTTCTGTCAGAATATGTAGTTATAAATATTCCGGTTTTTTATTTGTTATAACTTTTAAGATCTGACAAAAGTATGCCTTGGTTTGTTTATCCACCGTTAACTTTAACAGCGATCTAAAGATGACCACTTCCAACTTTTTGTCTAGATATACAGGTATTTATGATTTGTGTATAGTTCTTTGATTCACAAGTGGAAGAAATATTCTTTGTCTCTCGAGACAAGAACAAAAATTTTACTGCCTGTAGGTATTCAGACAGAGAACTTTCTGAAGTCTAAGGGTAATGTTACTAAATAATTAAATTAATAATTAAGTATAGTAAATGTACAACTGTTGCTTATTAATTCCTTACAAATACATTTGTTGCAGGCACAATGTTTGACCTAATTGAAGTCAATGAAACAACTACTGGAAATATAAAGTTGCCAAAGGAAATGATCGAAACAGCGCAATTAGAATCTGACATTCTAAAAACCTCTACTGACCACACTAGTGACAGTCTATACACAACAGTTGTTTATCATAAGGAACCACCTTCAGAAGCAAATTTCGTTACTAACAAATCAGTTAAAAAAGTTGACAACACACACAAAAAAAATATATTTAAAGTTAAGGAATCTAAAAATGTCAACCAAAAAATCAACGATAAATTCGTGCAACTTGCAAGTATTAATTACACTGAACGTAATAATCATTCAAAAATACTTTCAAAAGAAGAAGATATGTTTCCAGTTGTAGCAGATTCTTTAATTAAGTTAAATAGAACATTTAGAAAAGAACTACCACCTAACGAAGGAATAAACATCTCCGATGGACAATCAATCTCTAACTTGTCCAGTAATAACCCAATATCTCATAATGCGCATCAACACATTGAAATCAAATGGCAACAAGAAAAAAATAATAATTTATTGGAAATGAAACTATTTGTTACTACAAAGCGGTCTGATTTAGGGAAGACACCACAGATGATGAAGGAGAATCTTGAATTGGTTAATAGTACTGAAGACGACAATGCAATATTTCACAAAATAGATTCAAAGATTGACTTTCTTAATATAAACAATAGCGCTGTAGAAAATAACAATACTGAAACATTCATTGTACCCGCACCGGAAAAAATGAAAACACTCTCTAAAGAGTCCAATTTAACAAAGGAACAATTTCTTCCCAAGTCACTCCTAGGAGAAATTCAGAATAAAATTGATATGGTTGGTGGTACATCCCCTTCTAGTGAATCTTTTGAACCTGAACCTCAGGCTCAACCTAGACCAAACAGGCAACGACAACTCACTCGTCCCCAGAGACGGTCATTTTATCCTTATTTTTTCAGCAGGGTGTTGGGCTGAATTAGTTTGACACATTTTTTTGCATCAATTCATTTAGAATGAAGGCGTGATTTTAAGCACTTTAATGGTTGTTATTTGTCTGCCAAGATTGTTAAAGTTGAGTGACAAACGATGTCAATGACAAAATACCTCCCTGTTTAGTTGCACTGAATTTGTGAGGAGACTTTGTATTCCATTTAGTACAACGATGTTATTTGTAGTATTTGTAGTACTAGTCTGTTGTTTATATTTCTTGTTCTAGTACGTCAGTGATTTTTAATGTTAGCTCGTGTTCTTATTTCTGATAGATTTTACTTTTTAAACATTTAGATAATTTACTTCTTTCTACATAAGGCTGTAGGATGAATCTAGTATCACTGAGTTGTATGAAGACCATTTGTTATGTATTTACAAAGTTTAAATTGTAAACATAGATTCTTAGTGTCACTTTTGATAGAACCTATGCATTGAGCTTTAATTGTAAAAATCCATACAGATCACATGACACGAAAAGCTGCATGAGCAATGCACCGTCCTGCTTCCCGTCCTATGCGTTCAAACTATACAGAGGAAGTGACATGTGCCACCTCACTGCTTTAATTAAAAACACGGTATTTTGCACAATGTCAAGAACACTGTAAATGTACATACTGTATATGACTGTGCTACAAAAATAAAATACATAACGTAAAAAGAAGTAGTTTATTGTGCTGTTTTTTCTTCCATATCTAAAATGTATGAATCAGTCTTAATGCAATTAATAAAAATCTTATACCTAATATTATATTAACAATAACTATGCCCCTTACTACATGAGATAATTAGTTTTACATACAAGCTAAGATGGCAATATGAAAGTTCCAATTGACTAGTTAATATGTTTCACACTAATTTCTCAATTATTATAGTAAGTATTACAATATATCACTGTTTTACATGTATTTAAATGTGATTGGGTAACTATACAACAGATAAGCAGTGTGTACGTTAAGTATTTTGTAACTTTTATGTCAAAATTATGCAATCACTGCTTTTTTACAATTTTAAACTTATAATAACACTAAAACAAAAACTTATACATACCAACATTAGATAAATAATAAAATAATGGTCTTCATATAAAACTAATAAAAAATATATTGTCCACAATGTTAAACGGTTTTTAATCTTCTTTAGATTTGGATTTTTGCAACTTTCTTTCATTTCTGATACGTTCTTCAAGTTGGGCTATTTTTAAGTTCTTCATTAGTTGTGTGGACTGATAAAGCCAGCTTCCCTTTGAACAAAAATGTCAGCATGAGTAACATACCTATACATGTAATAAAACATAAAAGCAATAAACTATAATCTGAATTAAAATTTTATTTTAGAAATTACAGCTTTAAATGCACATAGCGTAACTTCAGGAAACAAGACTTTAGATTCAGTTTACTGTAACCTATAGCAATAAAAATATTACTAAAAGAGAAATAAAAAGGTATGTTAGCACTGAACAACAAAACTAACAATTTTCTTTGCGACAAACAGTGACTGCAACAATCCCTTCATGCTATCAATAAAACAGCTAGATAAATATATGAAGAGTACAGGGGAAAAACGAGCCAAGTCCATTTGGGGTTAAAATGAGATCCATACTATCATTTATTTTCAAACATGATTTTTCAGGTGAGATATTCTCAATTTTTGAATAACGAGTGTAAGTTACAGTAAATAGCCAAGATTTAAACTCCGATTTATGGAAGACCGATCAAATTCGATCGAAGTGCACGAAGTACCGATCCGAGTTCAAACATCAAAATTTTAATGTTCTAGCCACTTATTTATTATTCTTACCTAAATAAAATAGGCTGTATAGAATAGGTACAAAAACTATAACAGAAAAAGCTATGCAAAAACCCGAGGCAAAAACGTTAAAAAAATCAAGTTGGCCTTGCATCTCGAAAAGAAATAAAGCAAACAAAATTTTTTTGACGAATAATTCGAGCTCGACTTCTTGTACGCCTGTACCTAATTTCAGGTAATTTGTACAATTGGTTCTCAAGATATTTAACCGTTTCCATACATTCTAGTGACCCTGCATATTAGCAATACTTTGTAGTAAATGTTATCATATATAATAAGTATGTATGTATAAATACTGACGTTTATGTATGACAATACACATGTTATTATGAACATGAGGCTATGTAACAAACCAAATGTCACGGTTAGAAACTAAATTAAATTCTTAATCAAACTAATTATTTACAAAAAAAATACCAAAATTATAAAGGAGGAACTTACCACCATCAACATGCAATTGAGTAAAATCGGCATTGAAAAAACGACTGAGATAAATAGCCCGTTGCTATCAAAGTACTGTTGTCGAGAAAAAATCTTCCAATTGTTTGAAGCCAATTTGTTAATGCTTTCAGAGAAATATACAAGGAGCACTAGAACAGAATTAAAAAATTAATACATTGTTTACAACAAACACAACTTTTATAAAAAGTGGTAATAAAGTCACACGACCAAATATCGACATAACTCTTTTATACGTACAAATAAAGATATGAGCTAAAACAGCCCCAAATTAGAAGCTTGATTTTTTAGTAATATAGTTACTATATTCGATGCAATAGGGACGATATAACCTCATCATTGTGTTTTAAATGTTTCAAAAATGTTACCTAATCATTTTATAATTGTTTTTCACAATTCTTGAATGCGTTCCCAAGATAAATTAAAACACCATTTAGAACCTCGAAAAGAATTAAAAAGAAAATTTATTTTTGAATTTACAATTAGAATATAATTGTTATAGTTTATTTCTTTCTAACAATTGTTTCACTTCCATAAACGCCTCTTCGACGCAATGAAAATTTAGTAAGTGTTATCCCTTCATATAACACTCTTGTTCTGTTCTTATTTCATTTAAATATTCGTACATAATTCTTGCGATAACTGCTGGAACATGAAATTACTTCCGGGATGTGTATGCCTACTATACTTTCAACCGTCCATCCATCCAGATTTAAAAATAGGTTTTCATGCAATCGATGGTTTCTTTTCCAGCGATTCTAGCTTTCAACTTTACGTCAAAATGTGAAGTGACTTACGTAATAAAAATGAAGAGAACTTTAATTCTGCAGTAATTGTACACGTTCAGAATTTTTTTGCACCTTCTTCATGAAATTAATTATCTAAGCACGTGTTACGTCTAGCAAAATGTTTTGGTACTATTTCTAGCTCACTTGAACGTCCTGGATTCTTGCAGATCGTGTTTAAGAATGCTTACGATAGGAAGAGATTCCTATAAATGCTCATAAAAATCATGTTTACATACACATCGATCTCATGAAATTTTGGTTCTGTTTGGCACACTAAACGTAATCAAAGTTTAGGTATAACTGGTACTTTTATCAGCCAAAGTAACTGCTTGTATGGTATTAACCGGCTTATACAGTCTCCTTTTATGTGTTTCATAAAAAAAAAGATTTTTTGAAAAAAAAAAACCTTCTAGATCATCTAAAACAAATATCAGGAAAGAGTATTGGTTTTTATAAAGTTGCTTTTAATGTTACTTAATTTTATTTTCGAAAAGTAAAGTGTTGCTCTAATTTTCTCTACACGATGTACACACTTTGGATTATATGCATTGAGAAAAAATTCGTAGTACAAATACACTGTTTCGGCACAGTGTACCATCATTAGGCATTTTAAATCGACGCAATCACTCTAGAAACCAACAATTGAAAGTGTCCGTTTCGAAGAATACGAATGTAAATTCCAATATTTCATGTATCGAATGAAGATGATAATGGTGTTCAGGACGTTGCACAGCTAGGTTTAAGATTGTTACAGATCTCTGGCAAAAGATAGTAATAATAAAATATACGCCATTAAAAAAAAACTGAAGTAATTATATTGTATAAACAACAACTGAAATTGGTTGACTGATAATGACTGACTTGTTTTAAAGACTTCTAGAAATATTTATATACGAATACTTATATACAGTACTATTGACCAATACGAAAGTTCTTAACAATCATTTGAAACGAAACAAATGGTACGTCAAAATCTGCATATTTCTCTGTATTTATTGGTAGCTTTCAATTCTGAATAATGTTTGTTTTATAAAAATGTTTGTAAATAAATTAATGAAATACAAAGATTTACTTCGTCACTGGCTTTCTTCTTTAGCTGCAAGTCAGGGAGCTGTATGAAATCCATATATGGTATCAAAATAAAGAACAAAGCATTCGTAAGTAGTTAAAATTTTCGTCCCTTATGTAAATACAGTCGCGGCCAGAAAATCTTGGACATTATTTTGCTGCCATTTTAAAAATTCTAATTCTGTTGAAATTTTAATGAAAATAGCAAAACTTAAGACATAACGTTACAATTCCTAAAAATATTTTACACTTTGTGACAGTGGAATGATATTGACTTCCAAGATTTTCTGATCGCGACTGTATACATATTTCTATTATCTATTTCTAATTTGTGGAGACAGACTTACGTATGTATAGAGCGAATTTAATTGGAAAATAAAGTTTCTAAATTGTTCTACAGGGTTTTCTCGTGTTTTTATTATGTTCATGCTTAAAGCTTTTTGAGATTTTTGGCACGACCCTGTACACCAAGAATTTTGAAATAATTACACAAATAACTTCTTCATTCATTAATGTTGCTTTATAGTGATACTACATAAATTAACCATTCAGTAAATAATCATAGCCTTGAGAAATTTATCAATGACCCACTTTCACGAAAATGAACAGTCTATGAATTAATAGTTTAAAATTTTGATAAATTTGAACAAGTAGCGTGAGTTCTGTGAAGAAAAACATCCAACCATACTTTTTAAACAATACTCAAGTGTGCCCAGTGTTTTGATTTCTAAGACCTTTCTCCTTTAACCTTGCTATTTATGAAGATAAACTGATGAAATTCAAAACAGAAAGATATAAAAATACCATTCATATATGTATAATCTCCATATCAAATATTTTGGGTGTTACGTTTAAGTGGATTTAAAAAGAAGGTAGGCAATATCATTTCGGGATTCTTTAAGAACATTTTTTTAGAAAATGTCACTTCTTTATCAATTATTTTAAAATATATATAAATATAATGCTTACGTTAATAATATGCCGACTTTTAGATTTAACAGAAAAATTAGAACTCATCAATGTGAAAATATGTAACAACTATCAATTTTAAAACACATCCATTCTATAACGTGTTTTGTCAAAAAAGAAGGTGTATGGCAACATAACACTCATTCAGCCTTGTACTAGACGATGCTGAAATCATCAGAATAACCTCGTAACATTCGAACAAATAAGAACAGTCTGACCGGTAAAAGTTACTGATTTTGTTGACAAAACAAATCTTATCCGGGTTTCACAACATTTTGAATTAGTAACAACGCTACACTCATTTTGATTGTCTATTCCCCAATTTTCAGGATTCCACCAATCACTTGTATTGTTACGGTTTTAACGTAATTAGTTATTACCTGTTCATCAAATGCCAGCCTTGATTCGATTATTTCTCACTACCGTGTGTACTTCAACATTCTAAATTTTTCAAAAATCTGAAATGATGATTTCATACAATATACGTATAGCACTTTCACTTTTACTGAATTTAATGAAACAATATATACACATAAATTGTTTATAAGTATTTTGTTCTTTTTATTTTATCTTTTGCTAAAAACGAGTACTATTATTTTGATTTTTGTTGCTAGATGAGTTTGTAATTTCACTATAAACATAAAAAGCACACTATTATGTCAATAAAAAAATTCAAAATGTTTAAAGCCGTTGGACGTCGGAATCCAAAGAGACGGTGAATTGAGAATTGCTGCTCAATATGTGGCAATCGAAATAATTTTTGTTCTTAACAATGAATGACGGTTGTTTATTAGATTGGAGCAGTATTTTCTATTGAAGCAGGGCACATGTAACTTTTTTTGAGAAAACAGTAAACATGTTTTAATTAATCTCCTTTTTATTAAAAAACAATGTCATCGTCACAAACATTGGTTTTAATAGAAATCGTGTGATATTTACTTCATTTGGAAGATTGCGGATTGAAAAATACTGATGTGTGGTATTGTTTTATATGTAGATTTCAAAAATGAACATTAATACATCGCGTTTCCAAAAAGGTTATCAATACAATCAAATTATTTTCGTAAGTTATTAATTTTTCGAGAATTTTTGCACAAAGCAATAACAGTAGTCAACAACATTTAGTAACAAGGAAGGTGCTTACTACTTTTGAAATAACTATGTACCCACCTTATAAAACCAGCTTTATTTTTATTCGATCAGGCCTAATTTTTGTGTAACAGCTACCACCAGTACAATTGATGTTATCGTTGTGACTTTTTTGATTTAAAGTGTTGTGTTTTACAATGCAGTGATTGAGTTTTATATTTGTCGAGTTAAGTGATTCGTGAACAATGTCAAGAAAGTGCAAAAATGACTCTTGACAAGTTTTGTTTCACTACTTTTAAAACTGAAAGGAGAAATTTTACACCATTATAAAAAAATTATATTAATACTGTTAACACTACATATAACCTCATTTTTGTTCCTAAAAACTGTATTTTTGGAGAAAGTATAAAAGTTATATTACAATATAACTGTTTGTACCTAAAATATTTGAATATCAATTCTACTATACTAAACCTTCTTCCTAACATAATCAGTTAAGTTTGCATGTTACACACAAAAAGTGAATTTTTGTTGACCAGTGATAATTGAAAAAAATGATCAATGGCAAAGCTCATTTTTAACTCTGCATACATAGCTGCTTGTTAAATACCTACATGTTTCATTCGTACTCCAAAATTAGTATGTATATTTAAAAAAAACTTATTTTAGTTGGGAAATACTTGTTAATTTATTAATAACTTAACGTGCGATAGTCCCTATAATGAACGCCAAAAACATAAATATAAACATTTCTAGAGAATCCTGGCACTTAATTTTATATAATATCATAAATATTCCACACATTTTATATGTACCTACTCCATTTAAAACCAAACTCGATTTATTGATTGAACATACTTTTGTAAGGAACTGTGTATGTACCTAGGTATTTCACATGATTACCTGCAATACTTGCATGAATGTATACTGAGGTTCTTTTTAATATGCATATCCATATAAACTAGTTACTTGAACGATTACATAAATTATCATTTTATTTTTATGTATAAATAACATGGAAGTTATTTCTAAAATGCTGTAACAATTATACATGAAAAAATACTTACACAGGCAAAAGAATAGTAATGCTTGAAAATTTCCATAATTTCTTGTGAATATTGCCATTATAAATATGGTAATATGAAATGTAAATAATGCTATAAGCCAAGGATCCCTCCAATCAATCTAAAAAATATACATTCTTGGTTAACAAAATATAGTCCATGGACAATCAAGTTTCATCTCATAATATAAAAAATTAATATGTAAAAATTAACAGGTTTTTATAACCTTGAAATAGTTTTGGTATAATTTTTTAAATACATTTAAAAACTACTTACACTCCAAATAAACGATAAAAATCCATCTATTTGGTTGATTTCAACAAAATTTTGCTCGATCATCATTGTAGAACAGCGATTAAAAAAACACCAAATTATGTGATAACATTTATAATACACTTATCTTGCATGTTGCTTTGACCTGAGAAATACACACTTTATAATTGTTGGATGTCGGTTTATTATTGCAAATCGGCAAGTGTGCGTCAGACTGGCGTATTTTTCTGTCAGTGTCAAACTTATAAATGTCAAGTCAACCTAACCTATAATGGTAACCTATTTTACTAAAAATTTGCCCAAGGGAATTAACTCTTCACTCACTTAACACCACAGAACAGCAACACCAACACCACCGCACAGAAAGTTACCACACTGCAAAACGAATTTTTAATTTGTTAATATTATGATGTCTTGATGTAATGTGGGTGATCTACACTATTTTAGTATAAAAGGTTGGTGAAATTTTACAAAACGCACTATTCGATTTCGCACAAACTGTTTGTACACAACTCTTCTACAGCACCGCCTGATCACGTTTTTCATCTTCAAATGTTGTGGAAATGCCTCCTTGTGCAAGAAAAAAGTATTTACTGTTCGTACTTTAATCCGAACTCTATTAGTTACGCCAAATATAGGCAACCAAATATACACGAATTGATGATCCATAGAGCGTGAAGTTACACGTTGATATTAGTGTTGTAATGGGATGCAGGGCACAAAGCCCCTGTGTCTCCATTGAAAACCCTATATTACCCTGTGATAACCCAAACTTCTCGCCTTTAATTGACCTTGAAAAAGTTCGAAGTCGGGAAACTTCAGCATGACAGTGTCGAGGAAAAGTTGTTTGGTTCGATCGAAAGCTTCTTGTTCAGTGGTGGACCAAATCCAACGAACGCCCTTTCGAAGTAAGCGAGTGAGTGGGGCGATGCAGTCACTGTAGCGATCGCTAAACCGCCGATAGTAACCACACACACCCAGAAAAGCTCGGAGATGTTTCTGCGATTTTGGGGCTTGAAACTCTTGGATGGCCTTGATCTTGCCGGGATCGGTGGCAATGCAATTCGATGATAGAATGTGACCCAGAGGCAAACTTCTTCCTTCAAAAAGGAGGATTTTTCAAGGTTGATGGTCAATTTGGAGTCACGCAGGCGGGTTAAAACCATGTCAAGATGAAGCAAGTGTTGATCAAATCAATCAGAAACAATCAGCAAATCGTCAGTATAATTGACGGTGAATTGGCGAACTTCGGGACCGAGAATGAGGTCCATGGCACGGCTGAAAGAACCTACGGTTGTTTTAAGGCCGAAGGGCAACACTTGATAGGTGTACGATTGACCGTTGAAAAGAAAGGCAGTGTATTGGGTACTCTCGGGACTCAGTGGAATCTGCCAATACGAAGCTCTTAAGTCAATCGTGGACATGAACCTGATGGACCGAAAAGATTGCAGAAGATCTTCAGGGGGGCGGGGTGCCTTGCAAGGTTCGTGCGCTTCAGGATGGAGATCACCGGGTGAAGCTTCACACAGAGTGGTGTCGGAATCCCGGCCTGATTTGGGCCTAGCCCTCCGATCTGCCTAATCGAGCCCATACCGCTGACCCCAGCGTACCCACGACCATAGCGTCTCCTCAGTTTGCGGGCTGCCAGGGCTGCATTAGCGATTTCGGGCGAAGTGTACCCTTCGGGGACAAATCTGATTAGCGGGAAATTATTTGAAGACTCGGAAATTTTTGCAAAACACGTTTGCCTCACCAACGTGTCCTCCTGGCGTTTCCCGTAGTATTGGGCGGATGAAGTGAAAAAGGATTAAATGGTGCCTAAGCAGGCAACGCGGGGACAGGAGCGTGTGGCCGGGAATCGTCACGACGCGTGCGTCCCGGTGGGGTCAAAGTGTCCTCGCCGGACCTCCTCAGCCACGGCCCTGCGTTGGTGCTCCACCTGTCTCGGCTGGCCATCGCCCATGTCCTAGCGTCTTCCTTGAGGCACTTTAGCACCTTTCCCAGCTTGTTGGAGGAGGGCGTGTGCGCCTCGGTGCAGTAGTCTTCGAATTCCCGCAGGAACTCCAGCGTCTTTTTCCGCGTGCCTGAAAAGGAAGGGCGGGGCAAAGATGCCGCCGCCAATTGTCGCTGGAGGTCCAAGGTGTATAGCCCCCAGCCCCTGTCGTGGGACCTGGATCGGCTCCGCTCTTGGGACCGGTGGCGTCGTCCGTTCGGGGTCCTCTCGCGCCGCTCTCGGCGTCTGCCGCGTTCCTGACTAGGGCTCCTCGAGCGTGCTTCGAAGGAACGCTCCCGTTCCCCGCTAGGGCTTCTTCGGCTTCTATTGGAAGTCGTGGCTTGCGTATGGTCTGTCCACGCGTCCGTGACCCGGAAGTCGGGGTCGTCACGGTTGTCGCTGCTGCGGTCTTTCGGCCATTTTCTTCAAATGATCACATTGCCTTTCCTAAATCAAAACACATGAGTATTTATGCAACATTAAATGCACTCCTCTAACGCAGTATGCAAACATTGTATCCTAGTCACGGCATCAAATTCTGTGATAACACAAACTTCCCGCCTTTAATTGACCTTGGAAAAGTTTGAAAGGCCCGCGAAAATTTCAAAAATTCAAAGTTTGGCCTTGGCTGTGATCGTCTAACAAATGGGAACCTACGTTGTGTGTGTTTTTTTTTGTTTTTGAAAAATGGCGGGAAGACGTTCTTTCATACAATTGCATACACTGCGTGTGAGTTGAGAGCGCAAGAAATTATAGACAAAATTTAGGGAGGGGCCACAATGGGACCCTTCCTTAGGAGGAAAAAGAAACAAAGAGCGAAAGGGACTCAGCGTACCCTTCAGGCGACTCCGCAGGGCCAAGGCGTCATCGGTCTTCATTCCCCAAAACCCCCTACGGTTTTATTCTCCGAAATATTACATTTCAAACACCTTAAGATATATGAACGAAAAGCACTCGCGAATTGACAAACATACACATATGAAAATCGAACAAGCACAAAAACCTACACATATGTAAAATAGATGGCTGTACCCGAATCGTTATGAGAGTGTGGCGATCGAACAAACTATATCAATTTCATTTTCGAGCACAGCAAATTACCCAAAGGGGGCGTCGTAGCGTGAGTAGAGGTTGGGACTCCTGATCGTCACGGTTCTCCCACACGACGGTGATTCTATCTACCACAAAGCCTGCCCGCACGCATATCTCCATTACGAACGTGCCTTGCGAAACTAGGCCGTTACGATCGCAGATCCGTAGTTGGGTCTCCACTATTGGGCCAAATCGACAGCGTTACAAACCCGCGATCGCCTCCTGACGCTATACAAACCCGCGGACTTGTGCAGGTGACGCGATCAATCCCGTTAGCTTGAGGAGTCGCGCGCCCCACGTACACTACGTATTATTGTGTTATTTACCTTCAATTCCATTTAAATGTTCAACCTCTATGACTCTAATATTAAATTACAACCGAACAAGTGTTAAAGTTTCAGCAAAAGAGCAAAAAACAAAATTTAAATTCGCCATACACTTACGAAAATTCAAACAACAAATAATTCTTAATTGAGACAAAAATTGGACATCAGATAATTTATATGACAGAACATTCATCAACAAAATATTTACATGATCAAAACTAGCAAAGATTTATAAAACAAAGATCTGGTGTGAAATAAATTTATGCAAATAAATTATGATGTTACGTTAAAACTGTGGAACATGGAAATATAAGTGCATTAAATTCTGGGGAACCAAAAGCAATAAAGACATTTTTCAATGTATCGTTGAAGTTGACCTAGATACATATCGTGAGTTGAAATCTGTTAGCGGCTTGCTTGTAGGTTTAAATTCATGTTCAGTGTATGATGATATAAATGTTAGGCGTTGCTATCACTGTAATGCCTTTAATCATGTAAAGAAGTATTGTAAATATAAACCTACTTGTTCCTTTTGTGCAGGGCCGCATGAACTTCAAAACTGCTCATTGGACAAAAGTAAAAAAGAGTTCAAAAAATGCATTAATTGTAGTAAAATTAAAGTTAAACCTGGTGATAATAGTGCTGCAAATGTAGACCTTGCTCATGCCGCTTGGGAATATAATTCATGTTTGGCTTTTAAGAATGTTATGAATAGAATCAATAAAGAAGTCTTTGGTATTTGTCAGGTAAATAGCGATTTTTTACATCAACACTAATTAGCAGTCATAGTGGTATTTCTTTTGACCATACTACAACAACTAAGTTAAGTAATACAAATTCATTATTAAGTTCTCGGCTAACTACAAACTTAGTGCTTTATTATCAGAATGTCAGAGGTTTGAACTCCAAATTTTCTGATGTATTATTAAATGCGCATTTAATGACAGAATGTGATGTAATTGTTTTAACTGAAACCTGGCTGAGTTCCACTATTTGCAATGGTGAGTTTTTTGATTTGAACTCTTTTAATGTTTTTAGAAAAGATCGCGATTTCTTGGCCACATCTAAGAAGAGAGGTGGTGGTGTTTTAATTGCGGCTAGGAAGAACTTACTCGCTAATAGTATTTCGCTTGAATCATTAAGTCCGAATTTCAATGATATGAAACAAATAGATATATTAGCTGTCAGGGTAAAACTGGGGCATCAGCTTATTTACATACTCACGTTGTACATACCACCCTCAACGTCATCTAAAGATTATGCTCTTCTATTTGAATCCCTTATGTCAATTAATATTTTATATAAGTCGAATGTTATAATTGTGGGTGATTTTAACATTTCGGAATTCCATAGCTGCGCTGCAGATAACAGTTATCCAAGTGAAATATACAGTTATTGTAATAATTTTAGTAACTTTCTTAATCTAAATCAAAAAAACCATATACTAAACGTCAGTCACCGCCTCCTAGATCTGGTTTATACTAACATTGACTGTTTAATTTCACATTCATCAGAGGTTATAACCTCTGAAGATAACTACCATCCCGCATTGGAAATTAATTTGGCACTTTGTAAAAAAAAAACCTCGTCTTTCAGAAACAATTGCAGTCATGAGTTAAATTTTAGAAAAGCTAATTTTCATCAACTTTATGGAAATTTGTGTTCAGAGGACTTTTCACTACTCGAAAGTATGACGAATGTTAATGATGCCGTTCAGTATTTATATGATACTTTATATAATATTTGTAATGCGTGGGTTCCATTAAAAAAAGTGCAGCATGGCATTTACCCGACATGGTATGATATGGATATTATATTACATCTGAAACAAAAACATAAAGCATGGGTGAGATATAAAAGAAGTCAAACAGTTGAAGCATATGAAATTTTTAAATCCCTAAGGAACCAAACAAAAGCATTGTTGAAAAACTCTCATAGAGCGTATGTACATTCAGTAGAAGCTGAGATTAAAACTAATCCAAAAAAGTTTTGGGCTTTTATAAATGACAAAAAGCGACAGTCTGGAATCCCTTCCACCATGAAATTTGAAAGTGA